TACAAAAAGAGGCAGAGTAGGTGAATAAATGAGTGAGTTTTTGGGCAGTGAGAATTATAAGAAAAAAATATGAAAATAAAAAGAGGATTGAAAAGAGAGCAACTGTTAGTTTTGGCTTTATACATCATCTTCCTTATCTATCTATTTTCATACAAACTTGCAAACCCTTCCTTAAACCTCCTTTTGGACCACCTCTTTCTTTTTCATTTAAAAAAAAAAGTATTTACTAAGAATTTAATTTTCAGATTTCTATTATCATTACTTTAGATCTCAATCTCCAACTGAGATTCTCTCCCTCCCTCACTGCTGGTACAGTTGTTGTAGACCCTTTTCAACTAAATTACACTCCCACCCTTGTATCTAGATTCTTCATTTCTCAAACTAATCTCACACCCAAACCAAACCACTAAACCGGATTTGAAAACAGAGTTCAATATTGTACTATTTGGTTAGTTTGAATAGAGCAAAAAAAAGAATAAACAATTAGCATACTTGATTAAAACCCTTGTACTTTTTCCTTAGTATTTATGTAAAAAAAAAACCAAGAAGCAAAAATTTGGAAAGGAGGGACAAGATAAGAAAGAAACAATGGGGTAGTAAGATCTAGACCGTTGAATAGGCAGAGACAAATCTGAGCACCAGATATTCTGTGTTCCAAGAGTAGAAAGGTTTTAAAATAAAGATTGTGTTGTAAGAGAGGTTTTTTTAAATGATGTAACAAAGTTATTAATTGTCACTTTCACTATTGTTAGTTGTCTTGTTCTTCAACAAAGAAGACACTGCAACTCTTACTGGTCGCAGTACTACAGTTTTCGTATTTGCAAATGCGCCCCCTATAATTCTACATCTCTTTTATTTAATCTATAGAATTTATGTTTCTTCTTGAGAAGGCTACACTCTTGGGAAGTATGAAGGAAGCACATAGCATCCATTTTCCGGGAGCCACGAGGCGTACCTTCCTCATCTTGACGTCCACGGCCACCTCTGATAGAGCAATCCGTATCCGCTGCAAATTTAAATACCAAGTACATTGTACGGGTTAAACATTTAATCAATCGCTAATCAATCATTTGATTAGATGTGAGAGTTTGATGGATTTTTTTCCATCGGTTTTAGACCTCGTGGAAGTCGAATTCTGGATCAGGAGCCTTGGAGAATCCATAGACATGGATGGTTGGGAAAGATAAGCCTTCATATCTCTGCCTGTCGTTGTATACTCCGCGAAATGCATCTGCTTGGAGTAAAGGATTAATGACGGTTAAAACGCGATTGTGAGCCACAAAAAAAGGAAGCTTTAGTAGGAGTATATTCGAACCTAGAGATTCAGCAGCATCTTTTGGTAGATTCATCACTACTTGAGTGACTTTTTGACCCTTTTCGCTTGAAAACATAGCCTTTATGAATCTTCGTCCGTCCATGTTAAAGATCTTAGAGAGAGATAAATGATTCAGAATTGTACAAATGGTTTAACAGTTTGAAGCAAAGTGTTAGGAATTTGTATTACCTCGATTCTCTTCTCAAGCTTATTGACAACACTATTCTGTTCCATGAATTCTACTGCATGAGGGTTCAGGTCATTGGCGTATACACGCCTTACAATTCTTGCTGCAGCAAGTGCGATTGGACCCACTCCAGCGAAAACATCACCTGCCAATAACAACAAAGTAATTTGAAACCTAATACAACATGTAGACAAAATCTATTCCAAGACAGACAGAAGAACTTCATACTAGCAATAACAACAAGACTATTGATGCATTATCTATCCACATGCTGCATATGCTTCTTATGCAACAGAAAGCAGCAGGATTCAACACCAACAATTAGGATCTTTGTCACAAATTGGAGGAATAATGCACCGACAAGCATTTTTAATGGAGAACCAATGGTGCTAAATCATAAAGTTCTATAGAGAGCACAGAAATATTTTTCATGGTGTACCCTCAAAGTTAGATCTAAGTAGCAAACATACAGACAACATCATTCTGGTCGAAGCCAAGCAGAAGCCTCTGTCTCTCTGTCCCAAGTTTCGAATTCCAATATCTTGCACAGGGAAAAAAATTACAAAAAAGGATGTCAAATTTTGAGCAAGTACAACGTTATATCACATGATAAGAGATACAATGCGAATATCAATCAAAAGATAAAACATATTTTACGCAGGCCTGATTTGATCACCAAACTGAGGAAAGAAAGTAACGGATAAATCCAAATGGTGTTAAGGGATTCGTTAAGGCGAAGGAAGATACATACACTCTAGCTAAATCAACATGAAAGCGCAGTCCATTTTCAACAACCAGAGTCACAAGGGAGTGGTTTCCGGCTAAAACCTCTAGCTGCATAGTTCTGAAGTCATTGTGAATAGGATCAATCTTATTCACAACGGTTTGTATCTTTGGCTGATTCTTGTCCAGAACTACCTGATACGAAACAGTTCACAAGATTTCAATTTCTGAAGCTGGGGGAAGTTTGGTTTCAAACTTAAGTAATGTCCATCATCACCTTAGCTATGAGTCTCTTGTATGGTAGATGCTCGTCTCTTAGGTTCAGATGCGCAATATGCCCGACCATCTCAAATGCTGAGGGGACAATCATACCCTTTGGTAGTACAGCCTCCAATACCTGCAAGAACACTTAGTTTAAAGCAAACCAACTCAATCTTCCATAAAAACTAAACTCATAGTCTCATCACTTACCTCATTCATTGGCCAATAATCATAGAACAAAGTCAGTCTGCATTTTACTAGCTCGAAACTTAAACTTGCATCGGTCTTTTTAGCTTCCGTGAACAGAACCTATTAAACAGAAACCATATAAATCGCCATGACTTCCTATTGCAGAGAACGGACACACATGAATATAGGAGTGGATTCAAAGAAGATTTATGACCTTGATAGCCTCAGGCAAGTCTTGAACTTCCTCACCGGAATATTTCTCATCCAAAAGCAACAATCTTGTTGAACCTCTCCATCTTCCTCTACTACCATATCCTTCTCCGAGTAACCCCTCCAAATCCTCCGCTTCTCCTCCACCTTCCACCACTTCCACCACCGCGAATTCGTTGCGTCTGCTTCCTTTTTCCTTATCATTCCTCTCCTCTGTTTTCTCTGTCTTGCGTTTCCTCTTTGGCCGAGAAATTTTGGCCAAGTTCCTGAATCTGACATACCCAGTTGAGTTAAACGTCCTGGCGAGTTTATCTCTGTGCAACACTGGACTCAATCTCTCCCCATCACCTTCTGCTTTTCCACTGATTCTCCGGTCAACCGAATCCACAACACTA